GACGCCTGGCCTACTTTGTCCAGATTTCAGAAAGTGATAGAAGGGTCACATTTACTCTACTTTAATATTGATAATTAAGTTAATTTATATAAGATGTTTTTATGATGGTAAAGTCCAAAGACTAATGTATTTAAGAATAATTCCCAGCAAAATAGCTGGTGAATTATAATAGTATGTGGTGATGATATCCCGTTTTCTATAGACGGTAATTCCACTACAAGTTACGTTTTCTATGGGTAACTTGTGGGTAATACAGCTATTATCTGTATGATTATTAAATGGTGTCGGATTTTCCGACAGGAAGCATGAGTGGTGGGAAGCATGAGTGGTGGGAAGCATGAGTGGTGGGAAGCATGTGTGGTGGGAAGCATGTGTGGTGGGAAGCATGAGTGGTGGGAAGCATGAGTGGTGGGAAGCATGAGTGGTGGGAAGCATGTGTGGTGGGAAGCATGAGTGGTGGGAAGCATGAGTGGCGGGAAGCATGAGTGGTGGGAAGCATGTGTGGTGGGAAGCATGAGTAGTGGGAAGCATGAGTGGCGGGAAGCATGAGTGGTGGGAAGCATGAGTGGCGGGAAGCATGAGTGGCGGGAAGCATGAGTGGTGGGAAGCATGTGTGGTGGGAAGCATGAGTGGTGGGAAGCATGAGTGGTGGGAAGCATGTGTGGTGGGAAGCATGAGTGGTGGGAAGCATGAGTGGTGGGAAGCATGAGTGGTGGGAAGCATGAGTGGTGGGAAGCATGAGTGGAGGGAAGCATGAGTGGTGGGAAGCATGAGTGGTGGGAAACATGAGTGGTGGGCAGCATGAGTGGTGGGAAGCATGAGTGACAGGAAGCATGAGTGGTGGGAAGCATGAGTGGGGGAAGCATGAGTGGTGGGAAGCATGAGTGGGGGAAGCATGAGTGGTGGGAAGCATGAGTGGTGGGAAGCATGAGTGGTGGGAAGCATGAGTGGTGGGAAGCATGAGTGGTGGGAAGCATGAGTGGTGGGAAGCATGAGTGGTGGGAAGCATGAGTGGGGGGAAGCATGAGTGGCGGGAAGCATGAGTGGTGGGAAGCATTAGTGGCGGGAAGCATGAGTGGTGGGAAGCATGAGTGGTGGGAAGCATGAGTGGTGGGAAGCATGAGTGGAGGGAAGCATGAGTGGTGGGAAGCATGAGTGACGGGAAGCATGAGTGGTGGGAAGCATGAGTGGAGGGATGCATGAGTGGTGGGAAGCATGAGTGGTGGGAAGCATGAGTGACAGGAAGCATGAGTGGGGGAAGCATGAGTGGAGGGAAGCAAGAGTGGTGGGAAGCATGAGTGGTGGGAAGCATGAGTGGTGGGAAGCATGAGTGGAGGGAAGCATGAGTGGTGGGAAGCATGAGTGACAGGAAGCATGAGTGGTGGGAAGCATGAGTGGTGGGAAGCAAGAGTGGTGGGAAGCATGAGTGGTGGGAAGAATGAGTGGTGGTAAGCATGAGTGACAGGAAGCATGAGTGGGGGAAGCATGAGTGACAGGAAGCATGAGTGGAGGGAAGCAAGAGTGGTGGGAAGCATGAGTGGTGGGAAGCAAGAGTGGTGGGAAGCATGAGTGGTGGGAAGAATGAGTGGTGGTAAGCATGAGTGACAGGAAGCATGAGTGGGGGAAGCATGAGTGACAGGAAGCATGAGTGGTGGGAAGCATGAGTGGTGGCAAGCATGAGTGGTGGGAAGCATGAGTGGTGGGAAGCATGAGTGACAGGAAGCATGAGTGGGGGAAGCATGAGTGACAGGAAGCATGAGTGGTGGGAAGCATGAGTGGTGGGAAGCATGAGTGGTGGGAAGCATGAGTGACAGGAAGCATGAGTGGTGGGAAGCATGAGTGGTGGGAAGCATGAGTGGTGGGAAGCATGAGTGACAGGAAGCATGAGTGGTGGGAAGCATGAGTGGGGGAAGCATGAGTGACAGGAAGCATGAGTGGTGGGAAGCATGAGTGGAGGGAAGCATGAGTGGCAGGAAGCATGAGTGGTGGGAAGCATGAGTGGGGGGAAGCATGAGTGGGGGAAGCATGAGTGGGGGAAGCATGAGTGGTGGGAAGCATGAGTGGGGGAAGAATGAGTGGGGGGAAGCATGAGTGACAGGAAGCATGAGTGGGGGGAAGCATGAGTAACAGGAAGCATAAGTGGCGGGAAGCATGAGTGGCGGGAAGCATGAGTGGTGGGAAGCATGAGTGACAGGAAGCATGAGTGGCGGGAAGCATGAGTGGTGGGAAGCATGAGTAGTGGGAAGCATGAGTGGTGGGAAGCATGAGTGGGGGGAAGCATGAGTGACAGGAAGCATGAGTGGTGGGAAGCATTAGTGGTGGGAAGCATGAGTGGTGGGAAGCATGAGTGGTGGGAAGCACGAGTGGTGGGAAGCATGAGTGGTGGGAAGCATGAGTGGTGGGAAGCATGAGTGGTGGGAAGCATGAGTGGTGGGAAGCATGAGTGACAGGAAGCATGAGTGGTGGGAAGCATGAGTGGTGGGAAGCATGAGTGACAGGAAGCATGAGTGGTGGGAAGCATGAGTGGTGGCAAGCATGAGTGGTGGGAAGCATGAGTGGTGGGAAGCATGAGTGACAGGAAGCATGAGTGGGGGAAGCATGAGTGACAGGAAGCATGAGTGGTGGGAAGCATGAGTGGTGGGAAGCATGAGTGGTGGGAAGCATGAGTGTCTGGAAGCATGAGTGGTGGGAAGCATGAGTGGTGGGAAGCATGAGTGGTGGGAAGCATGAGTGACAGGAAGCATGAGTGGTGGGAAGCATGAGTGGGGGAAGCATGAGTGGTGGGAAGCATGAGTGGGGGGAAGCATGTGTGGTGGGAAGCATGAGTGGTGGGAAGCATGAGTGGTGGGAAGCATGAGTGGTGGGAAGCATGAGTGGTGGGAAGCATGAGTAGTGGGAAGCATGAGTGGTGGGAAGCATGAGTGGGGGGAAGCATGAGTGACAGGAAGCATGAGTGGTGGGAAGCATGAGTGGAGGGAAGCATGAGTGGCAGGAAGCATGAGTGGTTGGAAGCATGAGTGGTGGGAAGCATGAGTGGGGGAAGCATGAGTGGGGGAAGCATGAGTGGTGGGAAGCATGAGTGGGGGAAGCATGAGTGGGGGGAAGCATGAGTGACAGGAAGCATGAGTGGGGGGAAGCATGAGTAACAGGAAGCATGAGTGGCGGGAAGCATGAGTGGCTGGAAGCATGAGTGGTGGGAAGCATGAGTGACAGGAAGCATGAGTGGCGGGAAGCATGAGTGGTAGGAAGCATTAGTGGTGGGAAGCATGAGTGGTGGGAAGCATGAGTGGGGGGAAGCATGAGTGACAGGAAGCATGAGTGGCGGGAAGCATGAGTGGTGGGAAGCATTAGTGGTGGGAAGCATGAGTGGTGGGAAGCATGAGTGACAGGAAGCATGAGTGGTGGGAAGCATGAGTGGTGGGAAGCATGAGTGGTGGGAAGCATGAGTGGTGGGAAGCATGAGTGGTGGGAAGCATGAGTGGTGGGAAGCATGAGTGGTGGGAAGCATGTGTGGTGGGAAGCATGAGTGGTGGGAAGCATGAGTGGTGGGAAGCATGTGTGGTGGGAAGCATGAGTGGTGGGAAGCATGAGTGGTGGGAAGCATGAGTGGTGGGAAGCATGAGTGGTGGGAAGCATGAGTAGTGGGAAGCATGAGTGGTGGGAAGCATGAGTGGGGGGAAGCATGAGTGACAGGAAGCATGAGTGGCGGGAAGCATGAGTGGTGGGAAGCATTAGTGGTGGGAAGCATGAGTGGTGGGAAGCATGAGTGGTGGGAAGCATGAGTGACAGGAAGCATGAGTGGTGGGAAGCATGAGTGACAGGAAGCATGAGTGGTGGGAAGCATGAGTGGTGGGAAGCATGAGTGATGGGAAGCATGAGTGGTGGGAAGCATGAGTGGTGGGAAGCATGAGTGGTGGGAAGCATGTGTGGTGGGAAGCATGAGTGGTGGGAAGCATGAGTGGTGGGAAGCATGAGTGGTGGGAAGCATGAGTGGTGGGAAGCATGAGTAGTGGGAAGCATGAGTGGTGGGAAGCATGAGTGGGGGGAAGCATGAGTGACAGGAAGCATGAGTGGCGGGAAGCATGAGTGGTGGGAAGCATTTGTGGTGGGAAGCATGAGTGGTGGGAAGCATGAGTGGTGGGAAGCATGTGTGGTGGGAAGCATGAGTGGGAGGAAGCATGAGTGACGGGAAGCATGAGTGGGATGAAGCACGAGTGGTGAGAAGCATGAGTTGTTACTTCCTGGTGAGCACCTGTTGCAACCTTTATTACTTCCTGGTGAGCACCGTTGCAACCTTTCCCACTTCCTGTTGAGCACCGTTGCAACCTTTCCCACTTCCTGGTGAGCACCGTTGCAACCTTTCCCACTTCCTGGTGAGCACCGTTGCAACCTTTCCCACTTCCTGGTGAGCACCGTTGCAACCTTTCCCACTTCCTGGTGAGCACCGTTGCAACCTTTCCCACTTCCTGGTGAGCACCGTTGCAACCTTTCCCACTTCCTGGTGAGCACCGTGGCAACCTTTCCCACTTCCTGTTGAGCACCGTTGCAACCTTTCCCACTTCCTGGTGAGCACCGTTGCAACCTTTCCCACTTCCTGGTGAGCACCGTTGCAACCTTTCCCACTTCCTGGTGAGCACCGTTGCAACCTTTCCCACTTCCTGGTGAGCACCGTTGCAACCTTTCCCACTTCCTGGTGAGCACCGTTGCAACCTTTCCCACTTCCTGGTGAGCACCGTTGCAACCTTTCCCACTTCCTGGTGAGCACCGTTGCAACCTTTCCCACTTCCTGGTGAGCACCGTTGCAACCTTTCCCACTTCCTGGTGAGCACCGTTGCAACCTTTCCCACTTCCTGGTGAGTACCGTTGCAACCTTTCCCACTTCCTGGTGAGCACCGTTGCAACCTTTCCCACTTCCTGGTGAGCACCTGCTCTGAACACTGACCGACCGTCAGGCAGGTGAGGTGCCAACAGAGAGATGATCAATGTTCTACATGTTGCAGGTGACGTGGGATGGACAAGTGGTGATGGTGGACGTTGGAGTGATGAGCCAGAGGTCTGGCGACGATGACCAACACTTCACAGTCAACTTTGAGATGCTGCTTCCCGACCACCCGCACCTCGACACAAGGCTCCTCTCCTTCACTCACATACACACCTCAGAGGTAGGCCTACTGCTGTACGTGTGATGTGTGTACGTGTGTGTTCCTCATATGCAGGTGTGGTACACACAAGTTACTGAGTTACTCAAGTAACTGAGTTACAAGTTACTGAGGGCTCGACCACAGGTTAATTAGTGCTTAGTAACCCACTGGGGGACACAAGGAAGATAAGGAGAGGTAGAACGGAAGGAAATAACAGAAATGCTACACAAAAATCCGGCCGGAGATGGAACAAGGGAAAGGGGGCATTTCTGCAGGCTAGATAAGCATGGAGAAAGAAAGCAATTAGTGAAATCTATTTTTATGAGCATCAACCCAGTTAAATATATACTGGCAGAGGTTTGCAACAAGATTGGTGCCAGAGCTAAGAGGCCTATGCTAGGAACACAGACTAATGACTCTAAGTCTCACAACCTTAGAGGATAGAAGGAACAGTGGGGATATGATCACACCGTAAAAGATACTGAGGGGAATATATAAGTTGGACAAAGTTAGCCTCTTCAGATTTAGAGAAAGCTAGGACTAGAGGACACAGATGAAAGCTGGAAGCACAAATGAGCCAAAGGGACGTAAGTACTTACACCCTATATGGGTAGTTAATGCTCAATAGCTACTCAAACAAAGGCCTTCTAGAGGATATATTATACATTAATATTGCTAATGTCTTTGATAAGGTACCACATGAAAGACTGGCAAGGGAATTACAGGCCCATGGGATAAATGGTAAATTACTAGAACGGATAAAACAATGGTTGAAACAAAGAAAGCAAAATGTCGTGATAAATAGGAACGAATCTGAAGAAATGTGGGAAGTGGGGTATCTTATCTTGAGATGATTTTGGGGCTTAGCGTCCCCGCGGCCCGGTCCTCGACCAGGCCTCCTTATTGTTACACATACCCAGGAAGCAGCCCGTAGCAGCTGTCTAACTTCCAGGTACCTATTTACTGCTAGGTAACAGGGGCATCAAGGTGAAAGAAAATTTTCCTATTTGTCTCCGCCTCCACCGGGGATAGCACCCGGAACCTCAGGACTACGAATCCGAAACGCTGTCCACTCAGCTTTGAGGGTACCACAGGGGTTCATTTTGGGGCCAACCCTTTTTGTCATATACATCAGTGTCATAGATGAAAATATTACAAATGTTACAAGGGGTAAGGGGTGGGATGGGCTGAGCTAGCAAGGTGGCTGCTAGGGATTTAAAGGGGATCTTACACCCTCTCAAGTGGGGCCACTTCTTCAACGTCGACCTCCTCCTCAGCAACTGTCACGTCGTCCACACACTGTCTTCTTTAACAGTCGTAAATACTAGCTGCCCTGTAGCCTATCCTAATACTAATGTACTAATAAATATACTGATATAATATATAGATATTTGATGGCCTAACTACTCAGCAAGGAGTAATGGGAGGGAAAAAATGATCTACCTTCATACATTCCTGCTCACGACGCCTGTCCCTTGATGGTGTGAGGTTCCCACGATTCCTGGGCCGCTCCTTGATGATCCAGTAGCGTTTTGCAGGGCCTCAGGTGTCGTGAAGCAATCGCGTCCTCTCCGACCCACTCCCTAAGTTCAGGTATTCCAATCCTGGTCCAACCAGTGGTCACTGAGCCAGTCACTGTACATTCTCGTTCCTTCCACGAGGCGTTTCCTTCTTGACCTAGAAACGGTGTCTTCCCTTTAGCGCCTCAGTAGATGGGACCCGGTCACTGCAGACCTGCTCGTCTGCCACTCAGACTCGCGGGCGTCAGGCTAGGCCCTCCCTAGTCGTCCCCGACCGATACCTCAAGTTTTGGCACTTCCTTGCCCACTAAACTTGGCTTCTTCCTTCCCAGAAACACAGGGTCTTCAGCATTGATGGTAGACTGCGATGGCCGCCTATAATCCACTGAAAGACACTCCCTGCACCTCAGGGGCTCAGCAGGGTCAGCAGATATGACTCTTTAAAGCCGGATTTGGAGAGATATAGGAGGGGCTCCGTAACAAAACCAGGTCATCAAATCTGCTGATGACACAAAGTATTATGGTAAAGTGGGAAATGCTAATGATATTGAAGCCTTACAAAGAGATCTACATGAGCTTCTTAAATGGTCTGAAGACTGGCAAATGCTTTTTAATAACGACAAATGAAAGACTCTGCATGTAGGGCATAACAACCCATGCCACAACTACCAAATCAATGTCATTACATTAAATCAGATTGACGAAGAAAAGGACCTTAAAGTCAAAATCCGCCACTCACTTAAAGTTTCACAACAGGTAGGAGCCAACCCAACCCTTTGGAGTAATAAAGCTTAAAAAAGACTTTAAGGAAAAGAAGGTAATGATTCAACTGTATAAATCTCTGGTGTGCCCCATTTGGATTACTGTCCAAGCATGGAGACTTCATCTTCAGAAGGACATAGCTGCTCTGGAGAAAGTGCAACACTGGGAAATAAAAATCATTCCAGAGCTAAGTCATCTCTCATATCAGGAACCGATGAGGGCCACAGGGCTAACACTAAAACTAGGCATGACAGGGCAGATCTCATTGGAACTTTTAAAATACTGACCAAATTGGAGGATGGTGATCCTGACAATTTCTTAAAATAATCAGATATAGGACAAACTGGGAGCAATGATTTCAATCTCAAGAAGCCACAATGTAGGACTGAGAACAGGAGATGCTTTTTCATCTACTGGGTTATAAACCCAGGGAAATGTCTACCCGCTGAAGCCACAAATGCCAAAACTATGTTAGATTTTAAAATCCATCTGGAAAGGATCATCAAGGGAAATGAGGAAACCTTCGACAAGCCTCCGACTTCCTGTCCTCGTCGAGGCCAGTAGTGTTAGTGTCTCTCAGGTAAAAAAAAAATTGGAATGCTCAAGAGAGGAAATTGTGGAAGCCACCTCGATCCACAACTTTAAGGTTCGATTCGACAAAGAATTTGTAAGTCAGAGCAGTTTGGTTGTGAAGCAGGAGGTACAAGGCTATTAGGTGAGGCACAACGAGCTAGACCTCGCTCCCATGTAGACTCTGATTGGTAAATACTGATTGGTAGGTATAGGTGTTTGCATCCGTGTGTTAATGACAGGCGTTGAATGTAATGAAACACCAGTTTCTGGGTGAGCCCCGGAGGCTCCCTGAATCTATCAAAACTGATATAGTGTTTTATTAGTTGCACTATTAGTATGCACTGGTCATCAGTCAGAGTCCTTAAGCCTACCGGGGACCACGAGCCAGAACCTGGTCCCCTCAGAGAGGTGCAGGGAGCAATGGCCTTTGAGCACTTTACACTTAAAGCATGTCATCTTGCCATCGACTGGGGAAGGACCATAGAGGTAGGCAAATAAAATCAGACCATTGTCTGGTTAAAATATGCAAGCTACGTTCTCAAAAGAGCAAAGGAGCACGCTCAGTAAAGAAAACAAACAAGCAACCCCCACCCGCCACTTTTTAGCCCTTCCCATAACCCCCACCTCCACTGGGGAGGGGAAGCCTGCCCAGGTGAGCCGGCAATCCACCAACCCAGTTCTTGAATATTTTTGGACACAGAAACGTGGTGCACCCCCCGTCCTAACCAACCAAGCATCCACAACCAAATGACCCCTTCGGAAGCACGCCGTCTCATTCTTTGCCAGAAAAGCAAACAAACAAAACGGCCACCAGGACCAAAGAAAGAAAACCCCCAGCACCAGAGAAGAGCATGTGGCTCCCCAACCAGACTCCCAGTGGCCAAGGCTAATAAAAACAATGCCTTCCAGAAACATTCATGACCCCAAGAAGCTTCAACAAACCGAGGAAAAGGTCACGGTACACAGTACCGTGACCACCGCACCAATGATTGTCTATAAGGATTGGTCAGTCTTGACGCTTATTAACTAAGCTCCCTGACTGACCATCCCCCGACGACACTCATGGATCCATTTGGGTACAGTTTTTCATCAAATTCTGGCGCACGGGCCACATTGAGTCTAACATGTGTGAGAAAGCTGCATGAATGCGCAAGCCACTAAAAACTCTTTGACCAGGCCAGGGTCGAACCCACGCCGTCCAGGATCACCCCCAAACGTACACAGTACCGTGACCACCGCACCAATGATCGTCTATCCATGAGTGTCGTCGGGGGTTGGTCAGTCAGGGAGCTTAGTTAATAAGCGCCAAGACTGACCAATCCTTATAGACGATCATTGGTGCGGTGATCACGGTACTGTGTACGTTTAGGGTACGAACCCATGCAGTATGGGTTCGAGTCACTTCTGGGGTGTGAGTTTTCAGTCGCATATAGTCCTGGGGACCATTCAGGCTTGTTTGCATTTGTGTTCCTCACGTGTGCCCCAAAGAATGAGGTGATTTGATAAAATGCTATGCCCAAGATTACCATCCGAGTGCCGGCGAGGAAGTGGTTCAAATAGCTTCGGCTATCACTTCCTTATGTCCGGTCGTGATGGTCAAGCGGATTAAGGCATCCTGTAGTTACCAGTTGCGTTGCTCCAGGGAGTATGGGTTCGAGTCACTTCTGGGGTGTGAGTTTTCAGTCATATATATATATATATATATATATATATATATATATATATATATATATATATATATATATATATATTAGTATATTTTGGTAGCAGTCTTTCCTGTAGACATATATTATTAAATATGACCGAAAAAGCAAGATTAATAATTCTAACACGAATTTTCTCAATCTTTCATACATTTCTTTTCACTGTTGGAGGTAATTCAAAAATCAATTCTCCAAAATTCATTTTTATTTCTAGTCTGACGCGACACTTGAGCGCGTTTCGTAAAACTTATTACATTTTCAAAGACTTTACACATACACAACTGAATAGAACTTACATATCTCCGATTTGTTTATATCTACATTTGAGTGAGGTGGATGGGGTGAGGTGGTATTTAATAGGGTATTAATTTCATCAACACAAGACAGAACACGAAATAATGGGTATTGAAATGGAAGTGATTGTAGAAAGCCTATTGGTCCATATTTCTTGATGCTTCTATAT